GACTTCCATGTGCAGTAGGGCCCTACGGGGTTACTCCACGTGAGTAAATGTCACTTAACACCCTCTGGGAGGAGGTGACTCCGCAGTATGCCCTTTCCAAATGGATAGGGCACACTTTCCCAGTGTTATCCAAGTCCTACTGTTGGGTTACGAGGAACAGCAGTGGTCGACCTTCTCTGTGTAGAGCCCGGTCCTATCGTCTGCCTTATAGAAAGGGTCAAGGGGCCTACACAGGGCACTGGAGGGGGCAGCACCTGTGGCGCATTGGTAGGGATCCCAATTCGTCGGTCATCACCAACGTGACGTCGAGAGTGACCTACTGAAAGGGAACGACGGCTCCTCAGCGAAAACATAAATTAATGCGGTGCACCTGCTGCCTCTTATACCTGCGCTGCGGGGTGTGGCAGCCAGATGCGAAATCCGTATGCCAATGTCCATTGGCTCGTTTAGTTACACTCGAAGGTGATTGGTCTCTCTGGCGAGATCCCAATTCGTCGGTCATCACCGACGTGACGTCTCCATTCCCTCCTTCAGGGAACGAGGGTTACATACGTAACCGAGACGTTTTATAAATACAGAGGTCCCAAATTTGTTCTAAACTGCACGCATTTTGCAGAAGAACATGTTTGTGTTTCGGTTTTGCGTGACTCTGTGGATGAATAGCGTAGGTATAGCCGTTATGCGACTGAACGCCAGTGGGTGGGGCCTATGGTGTGACGCCAGAAATCCCACAGTGGAGCTTGATTAAATAAATGCTTTGTTTATAATGAGGAGAACGTTTTGAGCTATGAAACTTGCAAGATGTTTTAATGGTACAGCTCTTATATGACAAAATATCAAGGCAAATTCGATTCTCTCATATCATGACCCCTTGAAGCGTTGGTCTGGAATTCGCACTCAGTAGCCTGTGAATAGTAAAGCCCGCCTACTTTGATTTGATTGGTCATCTCAAACATTTTGACATTGACGAGCAACTCGTGACAAAGTCAGTTACATTGGCGTTGTGCAATATATGTAAAGAAAAATGTAAAAATATGTAAATATGCTAAATAAATGTTTGCTAACTAAAATAAATGTTTAATTTAGCTACTTCCATCAACTGAAGCATCGCTCTGGAATTCACGCTCGTAAACAAATCAAATCAACAAATCAAATCAACTAGGCGGCTTTAGTGTCGCCACTAAAGCCGCCTAGTTGATTTGATTTGTCATCTCAAAACATTTTGTCACTGACGAGTGCAGTTAGACCACTGAGGCAAGTCAGTTATTTTGGTTGCAATATTCTTAGAACACCAAAGTGTGTGTGACTATAGTGATATGCCAAAATGCATATACAGTATGTTTAAAAAAAAAACAATCGTTATCACATGAAATCATATTTTTGATATAATCATTTTGTAATTTGTTTTTAAATTAATATATATTTAGGCATGCAAAACACTTAATATATTTTTGTTTTTATTGAACTTGATGTTGTGGACACAATTCCTTCCATGCAGTGAGTCAGCAGTGTTTATTTGGATGTTGTATTCATTAAAGCCGTGGTTCTCAGATCTACTCATCTGCACTGCACATCGGGGATATTTCACTTGTCTAACACATTGATTCAACTCATCAGCTTAATAGGTGTCAGATTAGGGCCTGTAGAAATGGACTGAGAAGTACTCAATTAAAATAATTATGCAAATCAGATCATTGCAATTTACATTTCAAATGATTGTTTTAATTAAAATACCTTTGAGAAAGTTGCATTTTGGTTTGTTTTAAATAAAAAGTCACAGTGAAGCTGAATGGAAACTCCAAACAAATGGAATGACCAAACATGTAATGAGCAAACAAATATACCTTGTTAAGCATGGTGTTCATGCATAGTCTGCCTGTCTGGATCTCCTGGAATAAAAGATCGAGGTAGATGTACTTGGTGCTTAAGCATTTTTGTCAGCCATGTTGAATTTAAAAATGACAATAGAAAGTACAGTTGCACAGAATTATATCTTAAAATTCTTTTATCTTGTCTGCATGTACATTTACACTGAAAGTATGTTTGTGGAGAGTAGAGATATTCTAGCATTGACTGTGCAGTTTTCACACACTTTATTAGAATTTAATTCATATGGACCCATGATAGGGGCAAAGATCAACACTGGTGGACTCAGTAGTGCCCTGAATGACATACAGCACATATAGGCATGTATAGCACATACAGGATTCTTAAAACACAGGTTTCCTTTGCACTAATATGAAGGTTTAGTTAAGAAATGGCACACAAAATACACTAAAATAGATACACTGCAATATGTACCAAACAGAAAATAAGACATCAAAAAAATTTTTTTCATTATTACATTAGTACTGTTCTTGAAGAATTTGTCTGAAATATTGCTTTGGACAGAATGATTCTGAAAGCATGTCTGAACCAGCTGTAAAAGAAGGCGTACACTATGGGATTACAAGTGGAATTATAATATCCAACCCAATAGAACAAGTCAAATAGCAGTGGTGGTACAGAGTAACCGATGAAGGGATCGATAAGATTGCAAAGGAAAAAAGGAATCCAGAAGGTCAGAAACACCCCCATGACGATGGCTAAAGTCTTAGTGGCTTTTCCTTCTTTTTTAAATTCAGAATTCACGCTCTGGATGGCCTGAACCTGCCGTTGAGCTGCGTGTAAGATCTTGAGGTACACACAGAGCATGACAAAAGCAGGAATATAAAAACAGATCAATGAGAATATAGTAGCTCCAGCTTTACTCTGAAACAGTGTACATCCGCCATCACATTTAATGTTCTCATAGTAAAAATCCTCAACACCAAGAATATTAAGCTCCATGAAGATCATGCCAAACCCCAGAGCAGCTGAAACACTCCAGCAGATAATAATCATAACTAGTGTAGCAAGTGATGTCATTTTACTGTGATATTGAAAGGGGTGACATATGGCATAATATCTGTCTAAAGAAATGATACAGAGGTTTAAAATTGATGTGGTACTCAATGTTACATCAAGACTGCTGTGTATTTTACAGAACAAATCTCCCAGATACCAGCACGTCTCGATGGAGCGCAGCATGCTGGGAGGCATCACAACTCCTCCTACAAGCAGATCGGCCACGGCCAGAGACAGGATGAGGTAGTTAGTTGGTGTGCGAAGCTGCTTGAAATGAATGACCGTTATGATCACCAACAGGTTTCCTATGATTGTGACAACTGAAGAAACGCTAAAAAGGATGTAGAGCAATATTCGAGTTTCCAAAGGATAGACAAACTTCTGACAAGACCTGTTACTAAACTCATAACAGAGAAAAGGCTTTTTCCAGATTTCAGTTTGACTGATGTTGATTCGCATTTCCATTTACACAATTCTGGAGCTTCCCTGCTTAAAAGGAAGTGAAGTTAATTTCAGCCTGCAGTTAGGTTTATGCATCTCTGTCAATGAATTGCATGTTAAAAATTTGATGATTGAATGATTTTAAATACAACACAGCACATCAAAGACTCTCCATCCATGTTCTTACCTTTCTTTCTACGGTGAACCAAGGCTGCCTCATGAAGCAAAGAGCACACATTTATAGCACAAGAGTTTCATAACAACCTCCCTCCTGTCAAATCACAAGGCATTTGAGTTTCCAAGGAAACCTAGTGTTCTCAACAGTCTACAACTGTCAGGGATTTGGATTTTTGGCCAGCTGTGTTTTTCCTTTTTGTGTGTCTGTGCTTGTGTGTTGGTGAGTTGGTGTATCCCCGGGGTGTGGCTATGCTCTCCTCTCTGTGGCTGAATGTGAATCACCTGCTGCCAATCAACTCATCTGCCTCCAGTATTTAAACCCTGGGTCTTCAGTCACTTTTGGGCCAGATCGTTCAGTCTGCCTATGTGGTACTGTGCTAAGGCCTCCCAGTGTCTTTAGACTAGTTTTTGTGTCATGTGCTTAGTTGGAGTTCTAATTCTGTTTCTCCTGTGCTTTAGACCTCACTCCACCTGCATTTATCCTGCATTCTGCCTGCCACGCCCGATCAACATATCTCTGGCCTGTTTGTTTCCAGCTAACCTCAGCCAATCCTCAACAGCAAAGGAGAGATGGATTGTGTTGCTTGACTTTTGGCAATAAATTAATTATTTGCATAATTTTTTAGTTGTTTCCAGCTAACCTCAGCCAATCCTCAACAGCAAAGGAGAGATGGATTGTGTTGCTTGACTTTTGGCAATAAATTAATTATTTGCATCAATTTTTAGTCTGTGTTCTGCTTTTGGGTCCAAAGCTGGTTACAACAACAACAACAACAACAACAACAGTGTCAAACACATGGCTCATGGGCCAAAATCGGCCTACCACCCCATTTCTTCTGGTCCATGAGATAATTTCATTATACTTTGTCATATTTTAACCTCAATTAATGTAGCTGTGTGAACAGACCCTAACCCTTGACATGTATCCCACCGTGTGTTCAGATTGTATAGTGCGTGGCGTGATGAACTGAATAATTTAAATATTTCATTTTTGTTGGTGCTGAGCCAGAGACAAACTCACTCAGCATTTTCATATAACACAACTGTTCGGTGCTTTAGAATGCATAATGTTAATTTTAGATTTCAGGGCCCATATTCATGAGAATTCTTATTGCAAAGAGCTGCATTTCCTGCCTGGGCCTGGCCCATGCTGAGGTGGCATTCTCTGAGTCCGACTGCATGCACTGGCTTACTCGCTGTCGTGTGTTTTGAGGACTCGGAGGAGCATCACTCGTGGCCTTACGGGAATGAGTCCTACTGCCGCAAGCGAGCCGCTGGTGGGCCTTCCCCTTCCTCGGTCCGGGGCCGTCTTCCTCTGCATCGCCCCTTTCACCAGTCCTCGAACAGGTGGTGAAGTTGTGGTCTGCTCCCCAGTCTGCGTGCGTCCACTCTTCCGCTCAGGCCATGTTCTCCCACGTGGACGGGACAGAGGCCCATGGCTATGTGCGCATACCCCCCATCGAGAAGACCGTCACCACACATCTGTGCCTTTCCTCGGCCACGCTTGGCGCAGGCCTCAGCCTGCCTTCTACGCCTTGCAGATTGACCACCTACCTCGCTGACAAGACATACACTTCCGCAGACAAAGTGGCATCCACGCTGCACTCGATGGCAGTTCTGCAGGTCTTTTAAGCTAAGCTTCTGCAGTCTCTGGACAGCGGCGACATGGACGCGGACGTTGTGAAAGACCTGTGCTGTGCTGATGGTGACAAAGCACTCTGCTCAAGCCAATGGTCGTTCCTTCACAGTCACCTATGGCTGACCCTAGCTGACCTGAAGGACTCTGACTGTAAAGCACTCCTCAAAGCTCCGATCACTCCCTCTGGCCTCTTTGGTGACGCCATGGAGTCGGTTATTAAGTGTTTCTCTGAGGCGCAAAAGTGCGTGAAGGTTCACGCACCTGATGCCCCGGCAGGTGTTCCATCCACCGTCTAGATCATGCTCCTCTTCTCGCCCCACTCCGCTCAGAGAACGGCTAAGCAGCCCGCCGCATCCTCTGCAGCTCCTCGAAATGAGCTGGATGTTTGGCGCAAGCAGTGGACGGAACCAGGGAAAAGGTGCCACAGACAGAGGAGGAGCCCCCGCCTTGACAGTGGACTGCCCTCGGCTGCCAGGCCCTCATCCTGACGGACCGGCCAAGAGGAGGAGAGAGCTCTATAACATATCTGGGTGTGTGTTCCGACTCGGTGGAGATGCGAGCCCTCCTCTCTCAAGAGGCACATAACGACCATTTCACCAGCTCTGCGTCACTTCAGAACGGGCCGGTCTGTTCCCTTGAGGGAATTTCAGAGGCTTCTGGGACTTGTGGCTTCAGCTTTATCAGTTTGCCACCTGGGTTATTTGCACATGCGGCCACTACAGTTGTGGCTGAAAACTTGAGTTCCGTAGAGAGCATGGACCACGGTTCACACGCAGCTGTGTCAGTGCTCTGAGACCATGGTGCAACCCAAAAACGTTCAGCTGGGGGGTTCCCTTGGGACTGGTGAGAGCACGCACTGTGGTTATGACAGATGCATCGGCCTCAGGCTGGAAGTGTGAAGGCGTACCAACTTCAGGCCTGAGTCAGAGCAGGTGGCACATAAAATGCTTGGAACTGAAGGCGGTGTCCTTAGGCCTAGTGGTGTTTCTGCCGCAACTGGAACAGCAATATGTGCTGATTCGCACCGACAATATGTCTGTGGTTTCGTACATAAATCGCCAAGGCAGCGTACGCTCCAGAGCCCTTTTTAAGCAGGCTGCGAGTCTTCTATTTTGGCCGAATCATCATCTACTCTCCATCAGAGCGGCACATATCCCCGGTCTCCTAAACTCCTAAACCTAATACATGCTTTCGAGGAACGGAATTCCTCACAGGGAATGAAGCTGCATCCCAGTCCAGTTTGGATGATTTGCGACCACTTCGGGAGGGCGGAGGTGGATCTGTTCACATCAAGCGAGAACACACACTGCCTGCTGTTCTTTTTGCTCTCTCACTCTCCGCTGATGGGAGACGCTCTGACGTCATGCTGGCTGAGAGCCAGACTTTATGCATTCCCTCTGGTAAAGATTTTGCCTCTGGTATTATGCAAAATCAGGATCCTCATTTCCCCAAACTGGCCGAATCAACCTTGGTTTCCTGACCTCAGGGAGATGCTGGTGGCTTCGCCTTGGCGAATCCCCTTCAGGAGGGACCTGCTGTCTCAAGCGAACGGCTCGATATGGCACCCCAAGCCCAGAGCTGTGGAGCCTTCAGGTGTGGCTACTTCAGGGCTCCTAGAGGGGCTAAGCGCCCTGCCTCCCCGTGTGCTTGACATGCTCACTGAGCCTCATGCATCTTCTACTAGGTATCTGTATGCTCTTAAATGAGAAGTGTTCGTGAAATGTGCTGTGATAAAGATATCGACCCGGCGAGCTGTCCCGTGTTGGATGTTCTACGTTTACTGCAGCACAGGCTAGATAACGGGAGTCTACCATCAACGCTAAAGGTTTATGTGGCCGCTATTGCTTTGTTTCTTTCCAGAGTTGACAGTCAATCAATCGGGAGGCACACGCTGGTGGTCAGATTTCTCAGGTTACATCCCCCACGCCCATCGTCGGTGCCGCCGTGGGGCCTAGTGCTGGTTCTGAAAGCTCTCTCTCTACCCCCGTTCGAGCCCTTAGCATCCATTGCTATGAGGGAGCTCTCCCTCAAAACTGCTCTGCTTCTTGCCCTTGCCTCGGCTAAGCACATAGGAGATTTGCATGCGCTCTCGGTGGATGACGATTGTATTCGCTTTTGGCCTGGGGACTGCAGTGTTACTCTCCGGCCGAGACCGGGATAAATGCATACATTTCTTTCTACCCCCTTTAAAGTGCAGGTAATTTCTTTGCCCGCTTTGTCTTCCAAGCCGTCAACCTCACATGATGCTGAGGCTCAGAGCGCCATTTGCCCTGTCAGGGCTTTAAGGGTTTATATCGAAAGCTCGGCCATCTTGCAGGCCTATGTACATTTTTATATTTGCTTTTGCTACGTTGCACGGCGTTACCTTGCTACTGTTGTTGTGTCTGCCCTGTATTCAGTGCAGCCGCTCATTTATTCTGGCCAGATATGCTAATTTGGTACACCTGAGTTAAAATGTTCATTGGTCTAGCTGTGCCTATCAGCTGCGGGCTTTCCTAGCGGCACCACTATTGGTTGGAAATTGTGTGTTGTTCTACCCCATGCTTGGTGTGGTCTTAGCCCTTGGTTCAGGCTGATCTTCGCCACTCTCACGGCAGGATTGTATACCATTCCCACTGTGAATGCTATAAAATAATAAAAAATAATAATAAAAAACAATGATGGCATAAAATAGACAGACATGTAGAAATATACATTAAGGGCCTTTTTAAAATATTTTCTCATGTGATTTGAAATTATCTTCTAGCATTGAACATGCAGTTTTTACACATTTAAACAATTTAATTCATAATGATCCATGAGAGGGGCAAAGATCAACACCGGTGGACTCAAAAGAGCCCTGAATGCCAAGAGATACAGCATGTTTATACAGGCATGTAGTCTAATAACATACAAGAGTCTTAAAGCACAGATTTGTTTTGCACTTCTTTGAGTATAAAGTTCAGTTAAGAAATCACATACTAAATAGATAAACTGCAATATGTGCCAATCAGAAAGTTAGACATCAAGTAAAAGAATTTGCAATTTCATTATTACATTAATACTGTTTTTGAATAATTTGTCTGAAAAATAGCTTTGGATATAATAATTCTAAATGCATGTCTGAACCAGCTGTAGATCTAGTTATATAAAAAAAAAGTTATCAAAAAAACTGATACAACAGTCATGAAGGGGTGCATTTCCCAACTATGGTCACAAGTTTGAGATG